CTGGATGGTAAGTAGAGGCCAGGAAAATTGGAGGCTGAGAAGGGGTGAGAGGCCCAAAAGTTGTGGGAGGCTGTAGTGCAAGTAGAGCTGAGAAAAAAAGTGGAGGCCAAAAAGGGGTGTGAGGCTGGAGAGCAAGTAGAGGCCAGAAAAAAATTTGAGGCCAAAAAGGAGTTGCAGGCTAAAAAGGTGTGGGAGGCCAGAGGGCCATTACAGAACAGAAAAAAGTGGAGGTCAAAAAGTGGTGGGAGGCTGGAGAGTGAGTAGAGGCCAGAAAAAAGTGCAGGTTGAGAAAGGGTGGGAGACTGGAGGACAAGTAGAGGGCAGAAAAAGCTTGAGGCTGAAAAGGTGTTGGAGGCTGGACTTCCTGCCAGGTAATCAAGAAGTACTTTTGCGACAGCTAGAGTGGCGTTCCGATCATAGAGATGCTGTTTCGGTAGCTAGAGAGTCTCTTCTGACTGCGGAAGTCCTCCAGGATCATGGAGACATACCTCTGGGATGCCTCAGGGGTGTTCAGTTCATAGAGATGGTGTTCTGGCAGCTAGAGAGTTGCCATGGAATCGATCATGGAATAGAGGCAAGATAAAACTGAAGGTCAAAAAGGGGTGGGAGTATGAAAAGGGGTGGGAGGCTGGAGGAGAGGTAGAGATCAGAAATAAGAGGACATGGAATTCCTCCTGGATCATGCAGACATAACTCCAGGACCACTAGAATGGCATTCTGGTTATAGAGTCAGTGTTCCAGCAGTTAGAGAGTCACCTCCAGTTCCAGAAGTGCTCCTGGATCATAGAGAAGTACCTCCGGGATATCTACAGTGGTGTTCCTGTCATAGAGATGGTGTTCCAGCAGCTAGAGATTCCCCTTCAATCCCAGAAGTCCCTCTGGATCTTGGAGACATATCTCCAGAATGGCTAAAGTAGCCTTCCAGTCATAGAAATGGTGTTCCAGCAGTTAGAGAGTACCCCCCGATTCCAGAAGTCCCCCTGGATCATGGGGACATACCTAGACGGCTAGAGTAGCATTCCAATCATAGAGAAGGTGATCCAGCAGTTAGAGAGTCAGCTCCAGTACTGGCAGTCCTCCTGGATCATGGAGACTTACCTCTGGGAAAGCTAGAGTGGTGTTCTGATCACAGAGATGGTGTTCTGGTGGCTAGAGAGTCAAGAGAAGGCAGAAAAGTGTTGGAGGCTGGACAATAATTAGAGACCTCAAAAAAAGTGGAGGACAAAAAGGAGTGAAGCCAAAAATGGGTGGGATGCTGAAAAGGTGTGGTAGGAGGGAGGATGAGTAGAGGCCAAAAATAGGTGGAAACTGAAACAAGGTGGGAGTCCAAAAAGAGGTGTGAGACTGCAAAGGTGTGGTAGGCTAAAGGTTGAGTAGAGACCAGGAAAATTCGAGGCCAAAAAGCAGTGAGAAGCCAGTGTGCAAATACAGGCCACAAAAAAAGTGAGAGACTGAAAATGCATAAGAGGACAAAAAAATGTGAGAGGTTGCAGGGTAGGTAGAGGCAAGAAATAAGGGGAGGCCGCAAAGGTGTGGGAGGCCAGAGGCTGAGTGTAGGCCAAAAATAAATGGAAGCCAAAATGGAGTTGGAGGACGAAAAGGAGTGGTAGGATGGAGTGTGAGTAGAGGCCAAACATAAGTGGAGGCCGCAAAAGAGCGGGAGGCTGGAGGGCAAGTAAAAGTCAAAAAGCTGTGGGAGGCCAGAGAACAAGTAAAGGCCGAAAAGCTATGGGAGGCCCAAAAGGTGTGGGAGGCCAGAGAGCAAGTAGGGGTCCAAAAGCTGTGGGAGGCAAAGAGCAAGTAGAGGCCAAAAAGGTCTGTGAGGCCAGAGACCAAGTACAGGCCAAAAAGCTCTGGGAGGCCGAAAAGGTCTGTGTGGCCAGAGAGCAAAGAGAGGCTGAAAAGGTGTCGGAGGCCCAAAAGGTGTGGGAGGCCAGAGAGCAAGTAGAGGTCAAAAGGCTGTGGGAGGCCAAAGAGCAAGTAGATGACAAAAAGGTGTGTGACACTGAAATGTAAGTAGAGGCCGAAGAGGTGTGAGAGGCTGAAAAGTTGTGGGAGGGCAGAAAAAAGGTGTGGGAGGCCAGAGAGCAAGTGGAAGCTGAAAAGGTGTAAGAGTCCGAAAAGCTGTGGGAGACCAGAGGGCAAGTAAAGGCTGAGAAGGCATGGGAGGCCAGAGAGTAAGTAGAGGCTGGAGAGCAAGTAGAGGCCAAAGAGGTGTGGAGGCCGGAGGGCAAGGGGGGGCCGAACAGGCATGGGGGGGGGAAGCTGAAAAGGTGTAAGAGTCCGAAAAGCTGTGGGAGACCAGAGGGCAAGTAAAGGCTGAGAAGGCATGGGAGGCCAGAGAGTAAGTAGAGGCTGGAGAGCAAGTAGAGGCCAAAGAGGTGTGGAGGCCGGAGGGCAAGTGGTGGCAGAACAGGCATGGGAGGCAGAACAGGCGCAGGACACTGGAGAGTCCCCTTTGATCCCCAAAGTCCCAGAATTCCTCCTGGATTATGGAGACATACCCAGAACAGACTAGATTTGAATTTTGGTCATAGAGACAGTGTTCCGGTAGTTAGAGAGTCACCTCCAGTACCAGAAGTCCTCCTGGATCATGGACACATATATCTGGGACAGCTAGAGTAGCATTCCAATCATAGAGAAGGTGTTCCGGTGGCTAGAGAGTCGAAAGAGGCCAAAACAAGATGGGAGGCCAAAGAGGTGTTGGAGGCCAGAAAAAAGTAGAGGCACAAAAGGACCGAAATGTAAAAATGGGTGGGATGCAGAAAAGGGGTGGTAGGATGGAGCATGAGAAGAGGGCAAAAATAAGTGGAAACAAAGTGTGGGGGGCCAGAGGGCAAGTAGAGGATAAAAAGGTGTGAGAGACCAGAGAGCAAATAGAGGGTGGCAAGGTGTGGGAGGCCAAAAAGGTGTGGGAGGACAGAGAGCAAATACAGGCCAGCAAGGTGTGGGAGGCCAAAGAGAAAGTAGCAGCTGAAAAGTTGTGGGAGGTCAGAGAGCAAGTAGAGGCCGAAGAGATGTGGGAGGCCCAAAAGGTGTGGGAAGCCAGAGACCAAGTAGAGGTCAAAAAATTGTGGGAGGACAGAGAGCAATATAGATGCAGAATATCTGGGAGGCCAGAGAGCAAATAGAGGTCAAAAAGGTGTCAGAGTCTGAAAAGATCTGAGAGTCTGGAGAGCAAACAGAGGCCAAAAACCTGTGGGATGCCGAAGAGCACGTATAGGCCAAGAAGTTGTGGGAGGCTGAAAAGCTGTGTGAGGCAGGAGATCAAGTAGAGGCTGAAAAGTGTGGGAGACCGTGTATACAGAGGGCTCGAAAGATGGAATTTTGGTCTGTGGTTAGACACTGGGTGAGAAGTAGATAGCCGAGAAAACGACAGCGGAGGGGTTAAAAGATGGAATTTCAGCCCGTGAAAACACCGCAGTAAGCACAGTGAGAAAACCGCAGCTGGGTGAGACGTAGATAACAGACTGGGTGAGAGAAACCAGATGGTTTCCCACAGAGATAAGAAAGTTGAACAATACTAGGGGAGGACGTGGAGGGAGGAATCCTTGCAACATCCTGCTGTTGGCTTAAGCATGATTGATATGTGACTGCTAGATTATTTTAATGTGCCGTGTGAACAAAGCCTACAAACCAATAGATGGGATGGCTATGGTGTGTGCAGCACACCTGACCAGCGGACACATGCGCCATAGGCTCCCTATGTTGAGAGTCATCAACAGAGGCGTGTTTTGGCAGTCACTGGTCACGTGTGTCAAAACCCGTTCCTCTGCAAATGTATAAATACCAGGATTTCCTGAAAGGCAGTGGGCCAGTGTACGGCGAGGCCACCGTTGCCTACGTGGGGACACCCACGTAAAGCTGGCACCTACCAACTGCTGGGCTGAGCGCATGGCGCAAGATGAAACAAGAATGTGCAGATGGTCCATCTTCCTCACAGTCCTCGAGTTGGTAAGACAGTTGTTTTGCAAGATACCCTTAGTGTAATGCATGTATGTAGTTAATAAAACGCTTACTTTTTTCCCCTTGTAATCTGTGTATATGTGTTTAACCTTCCCAGGAATCCTCGAAACCACCCTAAGACAGGCCAGAAAGCAAGTAGAGGCCGAGAAGCTGTGGGAGGCCAGAGGGCAAGTAAAGGCTGAAAAGCCATGGGAGGCTGGACAGTAAGTAGAGGCTGGAGAGCAAGTAGAGACCGAAAAGCTGTGAGAGGCCAAAGAGCAAGTAGATGACGAAAAGGTGTGTGACACTGAAATGCAAGTAGAGGCCAAAGAGGTGTGGGAGGCTGAAAAGTTGTGGGAGAGTAGAAAAAACATGTGGGAGGCCAGAGAGCAGTAGAAGTGAAAAAGTCGTGGGAGGCCACAGATCAAGGAGATGCCGAAAAGTAATGGGAGACCAGAGAGCAAATAGGGACCAAAAAGTTCTGGGAGGCCAGAGAGCAAATAGAGGCCGGCAAGGTGTGAGAGGCCAAAAAGGTGTGGGAGGGCAGAGAGCAAATAGAGGCCAGCAGGGTGTGGGAGGCCAAAAATGTATGGGAGGCCAAAGAAGAAGTAGAGACCAAAAAGTTGTGTGATAACTTTGAGTAATACAGAGCCAAACTGTCTGGGAGACCAGAGGATAAATAGAGGCAGAAAAGGTGTCAGAGTCTCAAAAGGTCCGAGTATGGAGGGCAAGTACAGGCTTACGGGACTCCGACGACCACGTACAGGGCAAAAAGTTGTGGGAGGCTGAAAATCTCTATGAGGCAGGAGATCAAGCAGAGGCTGAAGAGGTGGATGAGGCTGGTGAGCAAGTAGAGGCCAAAAAGTTGTGGGACACCAAAGATCAAGTAGAGGACGAAAAGGTGTGAGAGTCCCAAAAGCTGTGGGAGGCCAGAGAGCAAGTAGAGGCTGGCATGGCATGGAAGGCCAAAAAGGTATTGGAGGCCACAGAGCAAACGGGCAGAAAAGGTTTGGGAGGGCAAAGAGCAAGTAGAGGCCGAAGAGGTGTGGGAGGTTGGAGAGCAAGTAGAGGCTGAAAAGTGTTTGGAGACCAGAGAGGAAAGAGGGGCCGAAAAGTTCTGGGAAGCCAGAGAGCAAATAGAGGCCAAAGAGCTGTGGGAGGCCAAAAAGGTGTGGTAGGCCACAGAGCAAATACAGGCCGGCAAGTTGTGGGAGGCCAAAAAGGTGTTGGAGGCCAGAGAGAAATTAGAGGCCGAAGAGCTGTGGGAGGCTGGAGACCAAGTAGAGGCCGAAAAGCTGTGGGAGGCCACAGATCAAGTAGAGGCCAAAATCCTGTGGGACACCGAGGAGCACGTACATGCCAAAAAGTTGCGGGAGGCTGAAAAGCTTTGTGATGCTGGAGATTAAGTAGAGGCTGAAGAGGTGTGGGAGGCTGGAGAACAATGAGAGGCCAAAAAGGTGTGGGAGGCTAGAGATCAAATAGAGGCCAAAAAGTGATTGGAGACCAGAGAGCAAAGAGGGGCCGAAAAGTTCTGGGAGGCCAGAGGGCAAATAGAGGTCGGCAAGTTGTGGGAGGCCAAAAAGGTGTGGTAGGCCACAGAGCAAGTAGAGGCCGAAGAGGTGTGGGAGGCCAGAGACCAAGCAGAGGCCAAAATGTTGTGGGACACCTTGGAGCAATACAGACCCAAAATGTCTGGGAGGCCAGAGAGTAAATAGAGGCCGAAAAGGTGTCTGAGTCTGAAAAGGTCTGAGTATGGAGGGCAAGTAGAGGCCGAAAACCTGTGGGATGCCAAAGAGCACATACAGGCCAAAAAGTTGTGGGAGGCTGTAAAGCTGTGTAAGGCCAGAGATCAAGTAGAGGCTGGAGAGCAAGTAGAGGCCAAAAAGTTGTGGGAGGCCAGAGATGAAGTAGAGGCCGAAAAGGTGTGGGCTGCCAAAAAGGTGTGGGAGGTCAGAGATCAAGGAGAGGCCGGCAAGGTGTGGGAGGCCAGAAAGGTGTGGAAGGCCACAGAGCAAATACAGGACAAAAAGTTGTAGGAGGCCAGAGAGCAAATAAGAGGCCAGCAAGGACTGCAAGGCCAAAAAGGTGTGGGAGGCCAGAGAGCAAATAAGAGGCCAGCAAGGACTGCAAGGCCAAAAAGGTGTGGGAGGCCAGAGAGCAAATACAGGCAGGCAAGGTGTGGGAGGCTGAAAATGTGTGGGAGGCCAGAGAGCAAATAGGGGCCACCAAGGTGTGGGAGGCCAGAGAGCAAATAGATGCCAGCAAGGTCTGGAAGGCCAAAAGGTTGTGGGAGCTCAGAGAGCAAATACAGGCCGGCAAGGTGTGGGAGGCCAAAGAAAAAGTAGAGGCCAAAAAGGTGTGGGAGACCAGAGAGCAAATAGAGGCCAGCAAGGTCTGGAAGGCCCAAAAGGTGTGGGAGACCGGAGAGCAAATAGAGGCAAAAAAGTTATGGGAGGCCACAGATTAATTAGAGACTGAAAAAGTTTGGGAGGCCTCAGATCAAGCAGATGCCAAAAAGTGATGGGCGACCAGAGATCAAGTAGAGGCCAAAAAGGTGTGGGAGGCCAAAAAGCTGTGAGAGGCCAGAGGCCAAGTAGAGGCAAAAGAGATGTAGGAGGCGACAGATCAAGTAGAGGTCGAAAAAGTGTGGGAGGCTACACATCAAGTAGATGCCGAAAAGTGATTGGAGACCAGAGAGCAAAGAAGGGCCGAAAAGTTCTGGGAGGCCAGAGGGCAAATAGAGGCCGGCAAGCTCTGGGAGGCCAAAAAGGTATGGTAGGCCAGACAGAAATTAGAGGCCGAAGAGCTGTGGGAGGCTAGAGACCAAGTAGAGGCCAAAAAGCTGTGGGACGCCAAAGAGCACGTATAGGCCAAATAGTTGTGGGAGGGTGAAAAGGTGTGTGAGGCCAGAGATCAAGTAGAGGCTGAAAAGGTGTGGGAGGCTGGAGACCAAGGAGAGGCCAAAAAGGTGTGGGAGGCCACATATCAAGAGGAGTCCAAAAATCTGTGTGAGGCCGGGGATCAAGTAGAGGATGAAGAGGTGTGGGAGGCCAGAGGCCAAATAGAGGCCAAAAAGGTGTGGGAGGCCAGTGACCAAATAGAGCGCGGCAAGGTGTAGGAGGCCCGTGACCAATAAGAGGACAAAAAGTTGTGTGAGGCCGGGGATCAAGTAGAGGCTGAAGAGGTCTGGGAAGCTGGAAGCCACATAGAGTCCAAAAAGGTGTGGGAGGCCAGAGAGCAAATAGGGGCAGAATAGATGTGCCAGGCCCAAAAACAAGTAGATGCCCAAAAGGCATGGGAGGGCAGAAATGTTTGGGAGGCTAGAGAACACTTAGAAGCCGAAAAAGTGTGGGACAGTAAAAGGGAAGTTGTGGGGTTCTTTTCTTAAATGTAAATGAATAATTACTCCCTAGACAATATCATTTTCTACTGCTGCTAAATAACATATGATGATAATGACAAAAACAAAGGTAGCAAAAGTGGCACCAAAAAGAAAATAAAAATGACAGACAAACAAAAACCAGAGACTAAGAAAAAAGACTCTGCCTCTGTGACAAAAAAAACCCACCCCACCCACACAGACAAAAAAAAACACACAGGAAAAAAATTCACAGACAGCAAGACACAAGAGAGAAAAATAATCTTTATTAGCGCTTTATTAAATCAACATTTTTCTATGTTCCTTAGACCCCTAAGGAGGAGTACTTAAACTATTGTAATTAGCTCTTGCAGCAGGTAAGGTAACTTCACACATCTATGTTAACATTCAATCTTCATTGCTTAACTTGATATTTTCTTTATACTACTACTCTGACATAACTAAAAAAACCCCAGCTGGGAGATAGGAGTTAAAGTGAAAAAAAAAATTTCCTATTTCCACATGAAATGTAACCTGAAATAAAAAAAAAAAATCCACACATACAAGCTTAGACACATTCAGAAACTAACACTCATTCAACATCCATTCATTCTACACCTTGTTCAGAACATATCTATTTCACCACCCACGCGCCATAATGGCGGATCATCCTGATTCTAGAGCCATCCCCAGAACTGCCTCACCACGTGCCTGTAAACATCACTGCCCCACCTAATTCCATAGCATCAGCCTTTATAACTGGAAGCTGAGGAAGACACTTCACTTCATGCTCCTGCTTCTCTTCATTTAGAATGGTACGCTGTGCCACAACTCGCTCAAGGATTCACATTGCCCTGTGGCACCTGCAAAACACTACATAAAGAAACTCTGTGGCCTGCGTGCCAATAGCCACTGGCTACCCCCAAAAACAGGGTATACTACCTCCACCCAAACAGGCCCTGCTAATCGACAGGTTACCCTCCCATGCTTTGACTCTTCTACCCTGACAGGAATTGCCACACACAGGCAATGCAGCCTCACCTCAGATACACACATACATACACCCTACAACCATTACCTAAAGATGCTAAAATACCACACAGTATTTGCCCCTTCTGTTTTACAGCCAAGCAATTCTTTCTTATCATCCTTGTTTGAGCACTCCTGCTAGGATGTTTCTATTCTCAAGGTTAAGATATCTTCTCTGTACTCATTAATTTCTCAGTCCTTGCTCTTAACTCTTCTTTGTTTTGATTTCATGAGGCCTCTTGGCTAGCACTGAGCCAAGTATAGCCTAAGAACTATGAGAGTAGGCTGTTAAACATAATCACACAGTTGTTAGGCTAAAGAGAACTATATAAAAGTTAAATTAATCATGTAATCAATAACCCTCCAGAAAGTACACAAATGTATCACAGGAAACACAACAGTGCCAAGGATGCAGGGCATGGAAACTCCAGCATGGCCTGCCATGAGAGAGCACCATGGCCCACAAAGACAAAGATGGCCCAAAAGACTTAAGACTACAACACAGGGAATAAACCCGCAGAAGAACTCTCCAGAAAGAGAGTCAGAGACAAGACCTGATGGCAAAGCCCAGGAAAGAGCCATGAAAAAGACTGGCCAGAAGCACCTACAATGCTAAACCAGATCAGCGGTGTCACACTTCTACGTCACACCATGAAAAGAGACATGCTCAATTGGCGCTACACTGACAACTCAAGCCTGTGTACACATGATGGATGGCTACCGTGATCACAGGAGGCTGCGAGTATGCCTGAGGCACCTCAGGCATGAACACCAGAGACATTAGATAAGGGACACTTGTGAACCCACACTAGACATTCTGTACAACCCTACCCACTCATCCCAGAGCCGCTTTGCCAGCGCACACCTGTCAACACATATCGCTTCCTCTACCCGTACGAGGCTGACTTACCACAAACTACCCTCTCATTATGCTGATAGTTAGATGCAGAGTCTCCACGATGCACAGATTTTCACCACAGCACTTAGCTTTCACAGTGCCATGAGTCATGATCTATTCTCGATGACTATCCACGATAGTGGCCGCATCACTAAATGCCAGGTGCCTTTAATCACTTTGTGCCACTCTGCCACCTGCAAAAACAAAATACAAAGCTCCTGAACATGCACTTCATCCATGAGAGCGCTGTCCTCCACAGCTCCACTGACCTGCTCCACTCTGATTCCAAAAATGACACTTCATAGTGTCCATGGCACTTGAAAATCCAGAGCAGCATAATGACCAATCTGCCCCAAAGCAACCACCTGCTCTGACACCCATCACGCTGCTCCTCAAACCTCAATGCCTCAACCATTTCTAAAGGCTTGCCACAAGGTGCCTGCAAAAACATTAGTTAAACCATTGCTGAGCTACTGGCTTACTTCATGCTACCTCACAATCCAAGTGTGATCTGTTCAACTCCTATCCGCATGCATAGAGACCTCAAAGTCACTTAAACCCTCTCTGCTGGCTCTGCAATGCCATACCATAGACATAAACAGAGCCGTGCAATGCACATGCAAATATAATGCCATACAACGCAACATGCTCATAGATCACAGTTAAGACCAAATACAATATGGAGCACTGCAATGGAAGACAAAACACAGTACAGGACCATACAGTGCAAGACAGTCCCAAACGACAGTCAATAGATGTATGTAGCGATAGAACACAAAATCTCAACACTGGGCCGTATGATGCAATACAAATTTCAATACAGAATGATACAATGCAAACACAACACAGGGTCATAGGACATAAGACCATCTAAAATGGTAGTTGATATAAGT